TTAGAGTGTAAAAAAAACATGATTGAATACTCATTTTAACCAAGGAGAATGTTATTTCTGTGGATATGATAGTAAATAGAGACGTGTCGAAATGTGATTACATAATTTGTAGAACGTATGGAAACCATAGATTTATCAACATTCTGTTAAGTTTCCGAAACACGACCATATGACTAATAACTCACATATTCGGAGCATTACAACCGATGTCATTAGTTAGCATTGTTGCAAGCTTTCACGTACACCTTCGACCCTGTGTAGACATAGCATTTATCTTCTGGTTGTCTATTATCAGCACTGCCAACCTATGTTGCTGTCACCCTCCATCGGCGTCATATATCACACGAATTTAACTCGTGGATGCGGTTTATGGGATAAAAGAGTTCACACTCGTTTCCATGAATTCTTCACCGAGAAATTATATGACAACTTATTTATCATTAACGTAAGAGATAATTTCTACATAAAACATCATTAAATTTATGAACGTTGATCGCTCATATTTTTATTGAAACTCGTCGTATTGCCAATTATATTAAAATGCAGTTTTCACAAAATTCTACTGTTTTCAACCGTCTCAGGAAAATAGTTTTCAACGTCTTTGAATTTAGGAATATTTGTAGAACAAAACGTGGGAATGGCGTTACTTAAACGCACCGGGAATGATTGCTCGAATGTAACACTATCCTTAGTATCGATTCGTGTCGAGTTACATACAGTTGCCTGGTAATCGTCGTATGATTTCATCCATGAAAGCATCTTTAGTTAAGGTAAACAGAACCGGTCGAAAGGAAACGCAACGTGGCGGCCGTGCGCGTAGAAATAGTAAACGAATTCACATGGAATTAACGCAAAATGGGGAAAAAGCAGAGTGACGCTTAATGGAAAGAGCTTGTACACAGCTTGAGCATGAAACGAGTTATTGGTGTTACCTAAAAATAGAGTAGACGTTTCCCTTGCTTCTGTCGTCGCTCTCGGTAGAGTTACTTCGATCCATCGGTTCAATTTTTTCTGTTTAAATTACGGATTTGCTTTTCTTCCTCATATATTTTCTCGTCGTTTTTCTTCGTCACAATTCACGTCGAGGGACGAAGAAAATTTATTTTTCGATCTCGGAAACTAATTGGCGAGACCTACTTGTACGAATGGATACAAAATTGGAAAATAAAATTAGCTTCAATGGCACAAACGGGAGCCACTTAAAGCCCCACGTATGCAAACGAGAAGAGCACGCGAAAATTAAAAATATTTCAAAAGCCACGATTGCTATTCGAGTCGAGTTATAAATATTTCCAGCGTAAGTATTTATTTTATTGCACTTTTTCGATCGAATATCGAATTTCGAGCCAATTTGCAGAGATTATTTTAAGGCTGCTTATTGTAAACGATGCTCAAAACTAATTATCGTTCCAATGTAGAGCGGTATTAAATTCTGTCCTATTTATATGTCGCGCAAGTATAGATAACGGTCGAACTACTTGATCGCTTTAATTACAACCCCTGAATTTACCAGTGAAATATTTGCTCGAACATCATCGTGTATCAACAGGAGATCGTGTTTCCGAAACGGATCTCCAGACTCCGTTACCTCAAACGGTTTATCGTGCGTTTGATGAAAACTAATTTAACAGTTAAATATGCTCTGGCGGTTATTTTTTTAGTCGCGACGCGGTCGATTAAGCACCCATTCCCTGTCAAGCATCAAGCAATTACACCATCTTGGAAACATGTAAAATAATCGCGATTATTTTGAAATTAAAAGGTCACTAAATATTAAAAAACTCCAATTATAGTATCAATGGGCCATACTACTAACAGTACATAGACTTTTGTGTCATTTGTACCCCTTAATAAATATTTCTCATTTACTCGAAGAAAAATAATTTTATTCGATTTGTGCCTATCAGAATTTAAAAATTGAGAACTCTATATTATTTACGTATAATTATATTTTTAAAAAACGTTTTCAAAATGAAGGAGGGGGGGGGGCAATAGCGATTCTTAAATATACGTACACTGAAAAATAATTTGAATTTATAGACTAGCTTTTATTTCAAAGTACTATAATATTGCCAATATTTTCGAATTTCACCCCGTTTCCCTGACGTTACACGAAAGAGTAGGATATTTTTAAAATGGATGAAAGAAGTCTATCGATTTGTTTTTCCCTCCAAGTCGGGCGGGACCTCTTAATCGAAAAATATTTACATCGTAGACGCGGGAACGTTTCTGTGTTATCCGACCGAAATTTCGCGATGTTTCCACCGTCATAGTTCTGGGTTAGGAGGCTTACCAAAGTAGGCCGTGCCGTGAAACCGGCGGAAAACTTCACTCGACGGGTAAGAGAGGGCTGTGCCACACGCACACAAACACACTCTCCCTTTCTTTTCGCGTCCGTCGACGTCGTATCCTCGCCACCACACTTTTCGATTCTTTCGCCTCTCTCCCTTAGGTGGTTATCTTTCTTGCACTTTCACGTCATCGATCTGTGTACCCATCATCGAGTCTGCCCACTTTTGCCCGACACTTGCGGCCTATGTACTTTCGTAATACGCCGCGCGGGATGGCCGCTTAAAAATTTCAATCGCTCGTCGCCCCCTCGTTAAAATCCAACGGGCCGGTTATTTTTAGTCGCGGCAGGCCCGTTCGAATTATTTCAGAGCGACTGGAAGCAATAATAGTTCGTAATAGACTGTCTTATTTTCGAACGATGAAAATTTATATGTTTCTACTTAAAACCACTTAATAAACAAGAGGAAATCGACCGATGTCTCGTAAAATTCATGTAGCAATTCTATCAATAAGATTTTCATTGGCTCATGTTGCTAATGTAATGACACTGTATAATAAAATGTTCGAAATTAGTAGACGACAAGTTTGATAAAACTTTGCACGAATGTCCATTAATCGAGCCTTTTGACGTTAATGTCAGGCGTTGACTCGAGAGATTTGCTTTCAAGAGTTGCTATCAAGGGTAAAACTCTTTAGTGGACGCAGCATTGAGAATAAGGGTTCTTTCACACGAACATGCAGAATCCGACCTCACGAGTAACGAAGCAACTTTTAATACAAAGACTCTTCTTCTTGCTGGTGTGAAAGAAAGATTCTTCATATAGTCTCTCAAGAGAGAAACTCTCAAGTGAACATTAGAAATAAGGGAGAAACCATTCCCTATATGGTTTATCGGGAAATCAAGGAAACTGGTACAGTACTGTTCCGATTATCCGAATAATTATAATAGAAGGTGCCTAAATTTTTCGACGAAAAAAAATTTTAACAAATCGTTCTGGAAAAATTATTTTCAGTTGCGGGGGACAATTACAAGTATTTTTGGTGAATAGACATACCCTCGAAATCCTACGCAGTTTCGAGTAAAAAATTCATTACCGAAAATTTCATGTCTGACCATTCGTTTATACGTTCTACTGAAAATTCATGTGTACGTTCAAAACGTCATAACTTTTGAACGGATTGAAGGATTTTAATTTTTCAAAATGCAAACAACGCGTATTTTAGTGAAGAGTAAGCAGAAATTCCAAGAGTATTCGAAAATTTGTTCCTTGACCCAGAAAACTGACAAAAACCCCATACAAGTGGTCCAATCTTCAAACGTCCATAACTCCTACAATAGTGAATGGATCTCATTGAAATTTAGTGTGGAACTAGAGCTCATGGATACCTACAAAAAGGTACTAAACAATATTTTTATAGAAAATTTAGAAAATTTTAATTTTTATAGAAATTTTGACAGAGGCCTAAATTTTTCAGCGAAAGAAAAAATTTCAAATCGTTCTGGAAAAAATATTTTTGGTTGCGGGGGTCAATTGTAATCATTTTTGGTGAACAGACGTAACCCTGAAATCCCACGTATATTCGAGAAAAAAAATTCTTTATCGCAAATATTATCGCCAGAGATCTGTGATTATATTCCTCGTTTTTATCACTTCGTATGTAGACATAGTAAGGTTTAAAGTTCCGTCTGCAGTAGTGGTTTTCACTCAGTGGATTGTAATTCGTGTTCTCTGCTCACCTAATACTGGACAAAATGATTATATATGGATTGTTACGAAACGTGCATAAGCATATATGAATAGATATGAATGAGATTCACGTTAGATTCGGGTAGAGCGATTCTGGATGAGATCGTCGGGCGAGAGGATTTAATCTCATATATTATAGATATGCCACGGTTTATCGTCGTTCACATTGGTCCCACTAAATATTGTTTGCAAGTCGCATTAATCATTATTTTTGTTCTTGTTCCAATTGGAGAATCTGATAAGTTATTTATCGTAAAATTATCTGCAAACTGGCGATTAATGCTTTCAATATTGATATTTCGTTTAGTGTTACTTTTATTCCCTGTTGCGCGATTTGCAGTCACGTTCGTTTATGTTGAAATTTGAAAAAGCCTTTGCACACAACAGCCACTGAAGCTGTTTGCTCTTTATTTCGTTTGTGCTTTTCCCGAGCGTAGAATTGCAAGAATTGTATGCATTGTTTTCAATTCTCTTTTTATCCCCGGAGGAAACATAAAAGCAGTACACTAGATTAATTTTTACTTTGTCGTATAACAGAGAACATTTCATGGAGGTCGTGCATAATGGTGTCTTTCTTAATTGTTGTGACACTGGCTCTCATTTAAAAGGCTAAAATATATAATAACGTTTCAGTGTTTATTCGTTTAACCGTGTAATTCTTTTCGATGAAAACTGTAATCGAGTTATACGGGTAAATTGTATATTGCGTAAAATCGCAATCGAATAATTGAACTTTTTATCGCCTTTTACCATCTTCGCGTATCGACGTATTGACATATCGACGTATCGACGAAACTAGATTGTTTTTTTTAAAATTAGACCACCCTCGAGAATTATTTAATGGAATACAGTTAACATGATGTCATGAATTCCGTTGAGTGTCGTATAAGAATGTTTATAGAAATTTAGTCGTTTGTTGTTTCACACTGTGCATTAGCTTTTATATTTTTACTGTTTCAGGTTAAGAATTCGATGGCTAATACGTCCAGTTAAACACGCCGGGCTAATTGTTATAAACAAATGGATATCTTCGATTTTCGACGTCGGACGAGAGAATTGTGGAATTTCGATCGTGCTCCTACCGTCGAAGTGTAATAATCGTTCAACGAAACATTTATGACAAACAGTGACGCGCGTTGAATCTTTTTAATTAGCGAACGCGAATGGCAATTAACTCGAGCCTGGCATCGCTCGATTTTCATCGAACCGGAAGGGAGCGTTTTCGGTCGCGCGCGACGGTGAGATTTTATACAGCCATAAACTGCGCAGGACTTACGCTTGCATCGTGAAGAGATCCGTGTACATAACGCTTGTAAGGTAACGAAACATAAATGAATAATAAAAATGTAAGTAAATAGATTAAAGTGTGGTTACTAATCTAGACATAGAAACGAGCAACAGCTTGTTGTTTGTTCAACGACTGTAAAAGAAAAAATAAAAAATAACGAAAGAGCTTATTACGGCCGATCGACAACCTTAATGTTTAAACTGTAAGTTCGCCGCCGTGTAATTTCGAAGGAACGCCTGGAAATTCGCGGATTATGGCAGATGAGCCCCTGCCCGGTCCGTGAAAATAATTTCTTTTTACGATGTAAAAGTTTGTTTTCCAGTGCATTCGTCGTAGGAATAAGGTTCTAAAGTTTAAGAAAACTCGAGATTCCTTGGGAAAATTGTCTGAATGCAAACTGTAAAGTACGTGTATCAATAAAGACGCTAATGTGATTATTGCTTTTCCATTTCCACCTTTACAGTTATTCGTATTCAGGCTGTGGGGAAATTTGTTTTGAAACGAAAGCAAGGAACGACTGAAATATCGAATCATTTTGTTTTTATAAGAAAGCTCTTAGCAACCACTCTTTATCAAATGATCAATCACATATAATTATTTGCTTACATTCTACGTTATAGATAATAATGCTTAAATTTTTCAAATCATATTAAATTATTAATATCAGTGTGCTTATTTTTGTCCTTTCTAGGTTATAAAAAATAATTGTTTAATTTCTTCGAGAAAGAACAGTTTAATTTCACGCACGAAATAAGTTATTTGTTATTTCGATAAACAGTAAATAATACAAAATGTGTTTTCTTAATGTTGTAGATTTTACGATCTAAATGCTTTCCTTTGATAAAATACGTTCGAAGTAATATTCGAGCCTCTTTTGTGGCTGAAAATATCTGTTTCTTTTTACCAAGAAAAAGATTTTTAATTTAAACATTTCCATATCAAGTTTCTTTGACGGAGGAGCTGCTGGAATAAAGCTAGAAAGGTACATTTATTACACATCATCGTTCCACGAGCAAAGTCAGCGAAATGGACTCTTTAAGTGCGAACGACAGTTCCATTTCACCGCGGTCTACGGAATAACATTGTCGTTTTAACTTAATATTTCACCAAGATTTCTGTTTAACACTTTTCTTACAATTCCGTTGGAAGCAGGTTTCGCCAGTAAATTATTATTCGCGGTGGGACGTGTATTGCAAGAAATTCTTGGCAAGGGAAGTACTGAAAGTCAATGAATGATGATGTGCTGTATGTGAAATTTAAAGTTTGTTTTCGTAAAATTATACATTTTTCATATTGGGTACGAATATTTATGTATGATTCCTTTTTATTATCGGATTTGAAATTCTAAATCCTCGGTCCCATTAGCTTTCAGACCATACTCCGAAATAACTTTCTGCATCTTTTTACGTATCCAAAGTACGATATTTGTCGAAAAATAACATTCCGTCCAACGTTTATTGCAATTTATTCTATTTCAGCGTAAACATTTTTTTCCATCAGAAAAATAATTATATCTTTGCATTTTCGAGTTCGATCCGTTCGGGTTGAATTGAAAGAATAAGGACAGGACGTAGAAGATAGTATTGAATGACATAATCACTTGTTGAATTTAAGAATGCAGTCGAATGTATTTCCTTCCACTGACATTTTTATTTAAAATCAACCTTTCCACGAGATGTTATTCTCTGATATTGGCATAAAGCTACCGAAAGCTTTTCGTATCGATGATTGGCGAACTTGTATGCAAAGTAAGCTCGTTGACGTAATATTGGTAAAAGATATCGAGAATTTGATCGAGATTGAAATATGATTTTAGTTCTCGTAAAATTAAAGAGGCTCTCAGGAAATACAGATAAATTGTGAGAAAGTGCACGACAAAAGTTGACATTTTCGATTTGAAGATATAACAGAGAGTACAAACTTTAAAGGTAACGTCTTTTACGTAATTAGCATCGAAAGGAGTTTAAAACCGCGAATACTGTCAAACCGGGGAAGCGTTAACGGAGGTTCATTGAAAGAGCACATAAGAGCTGTACGATACCGTTGACTGTTGCAGCTAGACGGGTGAGTCGATTACTTGAAACGGGCCACGCCGCTGATTTTAATTGCTCATTATTATGTCAATTATCAAACGCGTCCCTCTCTTGAATCAACCTTATTTCGCAGCGGAAGCTTCGACGAACACGCTCACAATTTTTCGAATCGTCCACGAGCAGATGGCAGCTCGAAATTTACAAAAGAAACATCTCTTTATCATTTTTATAACGTATGGAAAATTCAATTGTCAAAATAAAAGGAAATTGTAATTTTGAGAGATAATTCGTTCGAACAAATCTGCTTGGAGTGTTCTGAGTTTCGTCAAAAGTCAACGAATATTATTAATTCACTTGTTAGTCCAGAGATGTTTGTTTTGTATAGGATTATTGTGTATTAAAATTGAGAGTGATGCGATAAACGCGGTGGATAAATGTTTCATAAACTTACAATAGATATTCGTGTTTGGAAGAGAGATCCCGCAAACTGCGTTGTTTTTCTGTCCCCGGCCACTTAGAAATACGAAACTGTCGTTCTCCCCGGAAGGGAAATGTATGCTTTGGAAGAATCAGCATATCCGGGGAACGGATTATTCTAAGCAATCCTCGATTTGCAACCAGAATTCATTTTCCTCGTGATTCGGCAAAAGTTTCCGTTCCGGGGGTTGATTCTACATAATGCGGAAGGTTCGACCATCCTCCCCACCCTATCCGGCACTGGATCGTATCCGGCGTAACGTTAGACGGTTGAGCACGAATAGCAGTCCCATTTCTCAGTGTCCCGGGGTGCTGCATCGTTAGTCGAAAGTAATATTCAGACGGAAACCCTGTGGACGAGCAGCTGAACGGTGCAACGACGTTCGGGGGAAAAAGACTAATGGTCCGGTCGACGCAAGAGAATCAAATCATTTCTTGGGAGCGGGGGGAGGCTAATGTTCTGGAAAAGAGAGACACGGCCCCCGTGAGTAATACACGTCTGTAATGATGGGTATTAAGTCCGAGGCTCCAATAATCACCTTAATAAAGCCAACTCGTGCGCAAAAAAACGTCATTAGTCAGTTAATCTTCAGCTTCCGAGCTTTCATCCATTGTTCGCGACATGAAGGGGGTGCTTCGATCGCTATCCAGACAGTTAAGCCAAGTTATTGCAGTTGCTCAGATTAGCCCTGCACAGTCGCAGCGGGAAAATATTATGTACGATTGAATATGCATGGGGTCTACTGAATATTAATGTGAACGTGATAGCGCGACAGATTTTCCGCGCCCGTTATAAACAATAACGTTGGACGTGCGTGAAAAGCCTCGGTACCTTCTTAATTTCGTTTTAACGCGACGGAACGTTGATTAACTGGAACGTGTATCAGAAGAATATCCATCGACCGGGAGATTATTTGTCGAGGGTAAATGGATTATCGGATATTGTTCTATCCCCGATAATTCCGGTGTAAAGGTAATTACTGGTTTCTTGTTGATATCTTCGAGCGATGGACGATTTTATTACACAACGTTTCCGCTCTCTTCTTACGAGCTCTGCCCTCCAATCATCGTAAAAATGAGAAGTGACCGATTCCACGCGGAGAAATGAATCGGAAAATGTAGAATCAAGTTTTTTTTCTAGATAATCGAATTCGAAAATTTATCACGCGTGCGATGGAATACGATTTGTCTGGCGCGTCCGACCATTATTCGCTATTTCTACTTACGCTGAATACCCGATGGATTTTCAGAGTTGATTGTTTTAACACTAAACCGATCCTTTTTTTTCTTTTTTACGAGGCAATGTTGTGTTTTCAAGTTTATTCGCGAGATATCTTTCTCTTTTATGTCACATATTTTTTCTTGAAGCGTACATTTTACTTTAAATGTGCATAACTGTAACTTCACACGGAATTTTGTAATTTTCATCGGATGGAGGATAGAACAACCTTGAAAACGAATTTTGTTTTAAGTCAAAAGGAATTATTTACGAAACAGTGCTGACTAAATATTATACGTTAAACGGTTAGCGTGTAGATAGAATTAATTTAAAGAATATCGTGAATTGCTAAACGGAATAAGCGAACGAATAAATATGTAACTTGAATCCCATCGATATTCAGCCTGAGCTTGAGTATTCCAAAACCGCAACCTAAAGCGGAGAACGTCGTCTCATCCATTATAAGGTCACCGCCGTGAGAATTTTGAAGCACCGTGGTAAACCATACGGTTGTTCCAAAGCGAAGGATCAACAATATACTACTGTCGGAATACTGATGCGATGCAGTATCCAGCAAACACTTCATTATCCACAAGAAAGGGCCTCTTTCCACGAAAGATGAACATTTCTTGTAGAAAACATGTAAAAATAATATCAGATTCATATAAGATTCTCATTTTATTTGAAATTTATTAAACCTCTGAGATTTATTACGAGGCAAGAGTTTTGTTTCTGGTTAATCGAAAACTACAGTATCTAAAATTTATCATGATACTTGTACCGTGTGAGCTTATTGAAATTTTTAATTTAACAAAATTTACTTCCACACAATGTTAATTCAATTTTGTTAATACGGTGATAATCGACGAAACAAAAACATTCTAACGACGGTACTTCGTCACCTGTAATGAACCGAGGAGGATTAATAAGATGGTATGCCGCACATATGCGTGGGTATAACGTCACCCAATATTTTAACGTATGCATACACGGTTAATACTATTAATCACGTTGTCTTCCGCCGATTTTGCCTGAGTGAATGTTGGGCTCAGTAGGGCGTTTGTATACCGCATGCATCAACAGTGGACAAGGCGATATTGATTATGGCTCAGCCACGAATAGTAAGCCCGAAATAGCAACTAATAAGTGATAAATTTTTTCCATTGATTCGAAGGACACATTTTCGGTACTAAAAAAACAACATCGATGAACGCTTGTTTCGTAAAATAATTTGGCTAAATAACTGTACGAGAACAGTTTAATTTTATTCGTGTCTCTTTACCTCGCAATATGTACCATACACTGGCTCGAGAGGTACTAGAATTGCATAGACACTTACACATTGTGTCACTTGACAGGTACACGACAGCTCGTGCATCTGGTGTTATGCATTTGCTAGTTATAAAACAATATTTGTCGAGTGAGATCTCTCAGATGTGTTAAGGGCTAGGAGAACTCATCTATTTAATGTGTTTATTTAAATAATAATGAATTGAGTACAAAGTATGTGGAATTTTTGAAAAGAATAACTCTTTTTTTAATCGTACAAATAACCAATTTATTAAAAATATTACTAAAGTATTGTTTTATAGAATGTAGCTGTGTTTTTCTTTGACGAATGAACTCTGTGACCACGACAAATTAATATTGATTTCTTTATAATCGATCGAAGGTAATTGTTCGAGAATCCAAAAATTGTAGCCATTATTTGTTTCATGAATTGACCGACTTTTTTTTAAAGATCCTCTCTGGGTCGTCATTCCATAGCTTCT